TAATGCAGCAAGGAAAAACAAGGGCATATCTTAAGAGGCCATTTTTTTTTCTGTCGATAAGAAAGCCCTGGAAAGACAGTAAAACAACTGTCGTTTTACTTGGACTCACCTTCAGGAGCATGGGGCCCACGAGAGAATAATCTGATATGTTAAGCATTGACTGTTACATTATTTAACGGAAGTGTAGATTATTTCATCGTATACATTTGCCTCAAAACTCAGTTGGGTGTATCCAGTTTTTATTTCCAAGACTATTCGTCTTTTTAAAAAATTATGTTTTTTTTGTGATTTGAATTATGTATAAGTTTAAAACATTATCTCTGCATAACTTGTAGAACATCTCACCACTTATTAGATAAATTACATATTTGAATGGGCATTAGCAGAGGTCAAATGAAAGAGCAAAGACTTAAGAGTCCTGAGAATTGAGCTCCACGTTTCTGTTCACCAGCTCTGTAATAATGAAGCAAGTTGGGTAGCAGTGATTAACCTACATGGAAGTAAGAGTATTTTATAGTGTTACTATAAAATCTGATAAAATCATTTTGGAAACACATTGTTTTTTAAAGATTACACAGAATTAGCACCAAAATACTCCAGACAGTATATAAAATACAAAAAAAAGTGTTTTAGTATGGATCATTTTATCAATGGATGTATATTCCTCAAGTTTACTGAGGAATCAGGAGTTGGAGGTTGTGATTCCTACAGTATCCTGCTTGTAAACTAAGATTTGAACCTGTTTTTTCTCATTTCCAATGATGCGTTTGTGCACCTATAGGGTATCATGCACAGTTTCCCCAAAGTTAGCAAAAATTAGCTGTTCTTTTTTTTGTTGTACTAGTGTCTTTTTCGGGCTAACCTTGAGAACCAGCTTTTCAATATTAGAAAATAGGTTCAATTTCACTGGTGATATCAGTCTTTCTAATGATAAATTCCATTGCTTTGTAGTTTACAAAGAGTAAATGGTGTTGATGCTTGTAAACCATTTGATGGTCTAAATTTCAGCTTCTTTTTCTCATGACTGAACTGCAAAATCAGTTACTTGTATCAAATAGTAGTGAACCAGATCGAATATTTCTCTTTTTGGGGGGGGGAGGTACCAGTGATCGAACTCCCGTCCTTGTGCTTGCAAGGCAGGCGCCAGCACCACTGAGCTAAATCCCCAGCCCCTGAATATTCCTCTTTAAATAAGAAAGCATTACACTCCTGACATGAGTTTTGAGACTGTTTTCTGTTACTGAATGTTACTGTAAAATGATAGGGGTGATATAGGGAAGATAGGTACTGCAGGAGATAAAGGGCAAAGATGACTTGAATATACACCTATTTGTAAGGGACTGTGATTTGGACTTTAAGTTATTAAGAGGCTCACTCTGGAGCTGGATCTGCACTTGTACTGTTTATGAGCTGTTATGAGCTTTAATAATCTGCTCTTTGTCTTCATTTCTTCATCTATTAAATAGAGACAACACTTCCACTTACCTCAAAGGGTTACTGTGAAGATGCTTTTCTTTTTCTCTTCTCTTTCTCTCTTTCTGTCTGTCTCTCTTCATTTCTCTCTGTTTTTGTGCCCCTCTCCCCTCTGTGGTAGTAGGATTTTACCCTAGGACCTCACACTGACCTATATCGCCAGCTCTTTTTAATATTTTACTTTGAGACAAGTTCTAAGTTGCTGAGGCTGGGCTCAAATTTGCAGTCCTCCTGCTTTAGCTTCTGAGAGTGCTGAGATTACAAGTATGCCAGACGGATTGTGTTCATTGTTTAAAAAGCATTTAATAGTTCCTAGTATACGTACTGTTGTTAGCTGCTGTTAGAAATGTTATATTCTCAACCTCAAAGTAACTTTCTCCTTTTCTAATCTAGTCTAGACATCTTTACCAGTTAGACCATGCTTTCTGCTTTCACATTTGTAAGAAATTATTCCAAATGGTGGTGCCAAAGAAAGATTGTTAAATCCTAATTGAAAGAGGATTGGAACTTCTGACTCATGCATTCTGACAATAAAGGTTAAGTTAACTGGACAGTCTTACAGAAGCTTGATGGGGCCAGTCAACAAATGGATTAGCTGGACCAGCTGCTTTTTTGTTTGTGAAAATGCCTTGGACTTCAGTGTTTTGTCAGCAACAGATGCTGTTTGAGCAGAGGAAGAAAATGCCGTGCCTTGGGTATGTAAGGCATACTGTTGGGTACGGAAAACTGCAATGTTATATCCCTAGAAATAAACAGAGGGATTTTGTTTATAGCAAGTTTCTGGGGCACTTTTGTGAACAGGATGTGTTATAGATAGGTGGCTTTATTTGGTACTCAAACCTTTGATTATATCCTAAAGTGGTTTTTAAGATAAAATCCCAAAGGTTCCTTTACCTGATGAAATGTGCATCATCAAAGAAAACGCTTAAATGAGATATTTGTACTTTTCTAGAATCTTGGAGCTTGGAATTTGATAGTTTTAAATTAAATTCTTGTACAGACTAGTCACATTCATAGGGACTATTGTTTCTGGGAAAGGTCCTAACTAAAGAAATAAAAATAAAGTGTGGCAGGACAGGAAAAGAGACCCTGAAGAAGGAAAGTCACCAAGAGCATTTATTGTCAGTTTGTTTTTCCTATTTTCTTCACATTCTTTACTTCTTACTCATGAAAGGGTGGTGACAGGTGAGGCTTTGCTGTGTAAGACTGGGCAAACCTAGATCAGGAGTTAAATTGGGCAGAAGTTTTAAAGCATGGCAATCTGTAGCAAGTAGCATATCTATACCTGGCTTCCTTATCCCTATTTCCTTATCCACCCTGATATTTGTTGTCTTTTGCGTTGGTATTGTACCCTGGCAGTTCAAAGACCCCTACCCAGTCTAGGTAAACAACCAGTCATTCCACGTTCCAAAATTATTCCTTCTTAGTTAAAAAAAAGTTTTCCAAAGAAAAGGAAGAGAAATAAAATTGAGTATTGCTCTGTATCCGTTATTGTTTTGAACAGCTTTACATTCTTACAACTGCTCTTATTTTTTATTTTGTTTTTTGTTTGGTTTTGTTTTTTGAGTGAGAGTCTCATTGTATTGTGGGCAGACCTTGAATTCAAGATCCTCGTGACTTATCCTGCCAGATGCCGGGTTTACAGGCCTGTTCCATCATGACCAGCAGCAGCTTTCATTCTTATCGTGCAGATAAGGAAAATTAAGTTTAAAGAAGTTAAGAGACTTGTTGAAGCACACAGTTAGCAAGTGATATTTTTTCATAGCCCAAGGTTCAAACTAGGTCTAGCTAGATTTTTCACTACCACCCTCTTGCCTGAATTCTTTGCTTTTAAATGATGCTATGATTAAAGAAATGAAAATTTAAAAAATTTTTTTTTTTTTTTTGGTATTAGGGATTGAACTCAGGTCCTCGAGTTTGCCAGGCAGGTGGTGGAACCACTGAGCTAAATCCCCAGCCTAAAATCTTAATATGAATGAACCGTATCAAATAGTTTTTATTTTGTTTACAAACTAGTTAAATCTAGAGAAAACATTTGGTAGATGGCATAGAACATGATTTAGACAAAGCATGGAATTTGGTCTTTCTTCTTGCCCCAAATAAGATCGGTATTTTTTTCTATATTGTATATGGATACAACCAATAGAACTATGCCATTTCAAAATGATGAACCTCATCGTCTTATTTTCAGACTTAGGATTTTCCTGTCGTAAGGTGTTCTAGTTTGGATCGGCGCCTATGTGTTAAAGGGTCCTCCCCCAGTCTGTTCCACTGTTGGAGGTGATGGAACTTTTAGGATGTGAGGCTTAGTGGGGGTATGTAGGTTACTGGAGGCATACCACTGAATAGTATGGTGGGAAACCTGTCCTTTCCCCCTTCTCTCTCTCTCTCTCTCTCACTTGCTTTACAGCCATGAAATGAGCAACCTCTGCCTTGCACTTCTATCATGATGATGCGCTGCACAGGCCCCAAACAGTGGGGTCAACCAATCGTGGATTGAAATCTCTAAATCTGTCATCCAAAACAAACCTTTCTTGTTTTGATAAGTTTTAGTTTTTTCTAATCTTGAAGTAAAATCTTAGTCTTGTTAGCGTTTTTAGATGTTCTGACCTTTTTTGTGTGAACCTCTGAGATTTACATGTCAGGTGGTACAGTAAAGTTAATATTGTTAACTGCTTTCATTTGGATCCTGGCTCTGTGATGTACTAATTCTGAGTTTCTGGGCAGGGCACTTCACCTCTCCATGCCTCAACTTCTTCTTCTTACTCTGGAAAATTGGGTTAATACAGTATCATACCTCATAGGAGTCTTGAGAAATTAAATGAATTAATAATATGTAAAGAGCTTAAGATAATGTTTGGCACTTAGGAGTATAAAAGTGTTAGGTATTCTTCATTTGTTCAGAGTTTATTGATTGTGCTTTTATTTCATATTAATGATTTTTTTAAGCATAGTTTTTTAAAAGTCATGCTCCTTTGAAGAGAGTGTCTCATGCCTTATGCATCCTATGTTACTTCGATCCATTTGATGGGAATAGTTATACTTGTATTTAAAACTCTTTTGCTTGCTAGTGAAGTTGCCTTATTCTCTATCCACAGCCAGGTAATTGAGAGGCTTATGCCTGATAAAATGATTTTCTCCAGGTTCTCGTAATTGTGCTGCATGACCATAGCACAGTGACTGAAACTACCTGTGGACACTTTGTCAGGAGACATAAAAGGAGTACTTGAAGGATAGTGAATATTTAAAAAAAATTTTTTTAAATCATTACATTAAAGATGCATTGCCTTTAAGCCCCCTGTAAAGACTCCCATCACTTTAAATACACTTACTCTTGTCATTTCCTGAATCGTTTTTGGAAGTCTTCTTTCATGTCTTTATACAGTGTGACCAAAAATATGATGACTGTTACTGTCAAGTGCCATTCAACAGAAAGGCAGACTTGTAAAAAACATTACATGTGTCCTTATCCATCCTGTCCACTGGATCTGACACCATGCTATTTCTCGCTCTTCCCCAAAGTCAAAATGACCACAAAAGGTAGCGAGTTTGAATTGTTTCAAAACATTAAGGCAGATACAACAGTACAGCAAAAGACACTCATGAAAAAGGACTTCTAGAACTGCTTTAGAAAGTGGTAAGAATGATGGGAAAAGTGTGTTTGAAGTGAGGGGGAGTATTTTGAGGCACATTAATGGAAATGTGTATTTTATTGTAATACATTTTTTAAAAAAGCTTATTCACTATTTTTGTTTTGTTTTTGGTTTTTTGTTTGTTTGGGTTTTTTTTTTTGGGGGGGACTAGGGATTGAACTCAGGCCCTTGCACTTGCAAGGCAGGTGGCAGAACTACTGAGCTAAATCCCAGGTCCATTCACTGTATTTTTAAGTCATATTTCATATCACCTGCTTATTTTACTGTTATCTACCAGAATTAGCATATGTCAAAGTGTATCTTCACACAAGTATCACTTAGTACCTTTAGTCAAGACCACCTTGCAAAATTTAGTTATCTAGATAAACCTCAAATACTTTATATTGCCTTTATCCATCTTCATCATTTTACACATCAACATTTAGAAGGTAATGGGAGATGAGATTGGATATGAAATCTGAAACCTTTGTAGGCATCCTTTCAGTCTGATAGAATCCTATGGAATGGATGAAAGTTGTTTTCATTGCAGGTGTCTTCCTTCACCCATGAGGCATTAATAATAAAAGAAGTGACAAAATGTCATACAGCTCATTTTTTCAGTACATTGTATACATGTTGTAGAATAGCAGTTATAAGCTTAGGAACTCACAACTGTGAGGGCTCCCATGTTTGAAGCAAGGCTTAGGAGATATATTCAGAGCAGGCAATCTATTGTGAGTTGAAGGAGGTGAGGTAGGCAATAGGCAGGGCATGTACTAAAGATTTTCAGATTTATCACAGGAGCAGTAGGAAGCCACTTAAGAAGGTTGAGCAGGAAGTGTGATGATATCATATTACCCTAACTACAGCACAGAGAATTGATTCTTGGGAAGAAAGAATATATCAAAATCTTGGTAAAAAGTGTTGCTAGACGTGGGTTGAAATATGATAGTGACTTATACTAAGGTAGTAATTTTAGAATTATTTAAGATGTCAACATGATAGGGCTACGTATAGAGCATAAATTGGAGAAGAGGAAATAGTGATGATGACCTAAATTGTTGGCTTTGTAGCTGGTAGTACAATTTAGAACACTAAAGAATGCCCAGGTTTAGTGGGAGTAGGTCAAAACATACTGACTTATGAAGGGCTTGTGAAACATCCCAGTAGACATTTCAAGTAGGCAATAATATTAAAATGGTCTGGACCTCCAGTAATGCCCTCTATTTAGTGGCTTAGTATTTCATGCTGTTCTGTTCACAAGTTATATCACATTTATTGAGCTTCCATTATAAAATTATAAAAACTGTTGATTAAATTGAAGCCCAGGAGGGATAGACTAGGATAAAAAACAGATTGTAGGGGCTGGGGTGTATCTAAGTGGCACTATGCCTGCCTGGCAAGTTCAGGGTTTGAACCCAGTACCTCAAGAAATAAAAAGCATTTTGAAAAAAACTTCTATGGATTTGGTGCCTGTCCAACCTGCCTGTTCATGCAAACCTCCTGGATTGGCATGTACCTTTTATTCCTACATACCTGTCTTCTTTGACTCCTTATATCCTATAGAAAACTTCACCCTCATATCATATAAGCAAATTAGGGTTAAGTTTCCCAACTCAGTTCGTGTAACCCTTTCCTTTCCTTTTTTATAGGTGTTGATGGTACTTTGTCTTATTTATTTGATTATTTGTACTGTAACTTATTTTCCAGTCTCCTGAGCTCCAAGTCCCTTGGTTCTTTTTATCTTCATTCCTTTCCACCCTAGGTCCAGTGAGTCCCCATCCTCATAAGAGCCAGAATGGTTAAGGCACTGGTCCCCTCATAATTCTCAGTCCTTCCTGATGAACTTGCTCTAATTCACGATGCTAAATCCAAACTCTTGATCACAGTGCTTTGCACTTGCTCATCCTTTCCACAACAGTAACAGATTAAAAGTTGGATTCAGAGCTTCTGGAGCCCTTGACTCAGCAATCTCTCCTTGGAGAACTTTCTAGGGGGAGATGAGAGGGCAGGGAGGGGAATAGGAACTCAAATGATTAAGATTCGATATGTATATGTATACCAGTACTCCAAGATGAATGTAATTGTTACCTGTTGCACACATACACTAATACAACATTTAAATTAAAAAATGATACTGTACTTTTTTCTTCCTAAGTTTGGGAAAGCTTAGGATAGAAATAGTGTCTTATATGCATTATCTACTGAGGTCCTGTTGGTTTCTTTGGGTTTCTGACTCTTATTGATCTAGGTGGTTGCTTCTTTTGAAATTTATAATTCAGGGCCAGGGATTTAGCTCAGTGGTTCCACTGCCTGCCTTGCAAGGTCCCAAGTTCAGTCCCCATACCAAAAAAAGAAAGAAAGAAATTTATAGTGCATTTGATAGCTGATTTTATTTTCTTTTTTGAGCAGAGTCTTGCTATGGAGGTCAGGCTGGCCTTGAACTCACTGTGTAGCCCAGGCTAACCTGTAACTGTCCTCCTGCCTCAGCCTCTCCAGTGCTGCCCATACTACATAAATCTTTAAAGATCTTTCTTTCTCATGTGTTTTCTGGGCAAGTATATTTTTAAGGCCTTAGGCAGTTCATACAGAATACCATTCTCCCAATAGCTTTAACATACAGGTTTTAGGGTTTCTTTCCAAAAATGTATAAATATGTCTTAGACCAAAAATACTGTACAAATTAAAAAGGTTCATTCATTCTATGCCAATAGAATTTTGAATGCATTAATGGAGTGGTAAAAAAAGATTAATTATAATCTAAATTTTTTTAGAAGTGTGGGACATTACCATACAAAGTGAACAATATTATCCTGTTTAAGATTTTATAGTTCTTATGTGAGCTGTCCTTAAATGCCATCTTGTTTTTGTCAGTCACCAACCTTGGCATGGAGAGTCGTACTCTTTGTGATTCATAGGAAGCTTTAATCAAAAACATTAGTAGGCAGTATGAATTTAACAGTTGAGAAGACTGTATTTGTCCCTTTTGTTATGGCATTTAGTAGAATCCTAAAGAGTGCTACCTCTGCTCCAATTTTTTTGAGAACTGATAATTTTACAATACTATCTTTCAATTTATAATGGTATTGTGTATGTACATAAAAACTGAGAAGTTAATGAAAGTCTGATAAAGGAATTTAGTTTGACCATTATAACTTATATCTATATATAGTATTTATAATTCAAAAATCTGAGCCAGGTGTGATGGTGTACTTCTGTAATCCCAAGACAAGTTCAAGGTCAGTTTGGGGACTTTAGTGAGATCATGTCTCAAAATAATTTTTTTTTTTTTTTTTTTTTTTTTTTTTTTTTTTTTTTTT